CTCTGTTGCACACTTATTTGTTGACCGAATGTGCTATGGAATCAGCATTCTGGCCAGGCCTGGTGGACACAGCTCTAACCCAAACTATTTAGAGGCCAAGGCAAGAAGATTCCAAGTTCAAGGCCTGCCTGGCTCCAAGTAACTTAGTAAGACCTATCTCAAAATATAAACTAAAAAAGGGATGGAGTATAACTTAGTGGTAGAGTATTGTGGTGTGGTAGATGGCATATCCAGCACTAAAAGAGAACAAGATGTTGGTGTGAGCCCCAGAGGAGATCTGGCATCACTTTGGACAGATAGCAGGACAGGCAAACTTCAGATGTACATTGACCTTGACCATGGTGTAGTTGGTACTGAGCCTGGCTCCCTAAAGGCCCCAAAAGTCATATTATTTTTTTCCCCAAGCAGTCTCTCCAGTATTCAGGAAGACACAGTAAATATCTCCTGGCTTCCTGATCCTGGTGATGCCACAAAATTAGAGGAAAAGCCTTTAAGCCACAGGACTTAGCAACCTCTAAGCAATTACAGTCACTCTCTAGAATGTTCCCAGAAAACCAGCATCCCTGAGGGGACACTTACTGTCAGAAAAACACCTGGTGCCTCCTCCTTCCTCTCCTCCTTCTTACTCTTCCCCTCTCCCCCTCCCCCCTCCTCCTCCTCCTTGAGGAAGCCCTTTGCTCTATAATGGCAGCTTGATGGGTACCCACTGTCTTTTCCTTCCCTTCTCCCTCTAGTTTGCCTTTGCTGTCTGCTTTGAGCAACACACACATTCTGAGGTAGACTCCCTGGGGACACTGCCTTTAAGATGGTGGCTCTCGTGCCCTGGTAAAGAGTTGCTGTCTGTCCCTAAAACATGAGCCTGTCTAATTAGTTAATCATGAACTGTCCCTGGCCTCAGGAGTCAAGGAGAGTTTCAGAGAGGAGTAGTTGCTGAGAACTGTCCCACCTCTCAGAGCCACAGGGAAGAGAAGAAGGGCACATGGCTTCAGTACCCTGCCTCTGTCCTTCCCACTTGTACCAGTGACTAAAAGGCAAAGTCTTTCCCATTTGACTTTCTGCAGCTTGCTAAGCTGCAACAGATCCAGAAGAAGATGGAGAAAGAATAACTACTTTAATAATATGACACGCAAATTGCTCTAGAATGTGTGTCAGTTAAAATATCTTCATTATAGAACACTGTAGAAAAGTTCAAAATAGATAATTCAGATTCTTCTGGTTGTATTTTGTTGTTCTAACTGGAATGGCACATAGGCATTGTTATACTAAGGGAGCATACTAGCCATATTCATTCCTTCACTGCTTGGATGTATGCTATCAAACTTTTATCAAAAGTATACTTTGGGCATGTGGTAGTTTGAATATAATTGGCCCACATAATCTCATAAGGATTGGCACCATTAGTGGGTATGGCTTTGATGGAGTAGTATGACCTTGTTAGAGGAAGTGTGTCACTGTGTGGGTGGACTTGGAGGTTTCCTATGCTCAGGATACCAACTAGTGTCTCAGTCCATTTCCTGTTGCCTTCTGATCAAGACATAGCCAGCATTATGTCTGCCTGCATGCCGCCATGTTCCCCGCCATGATGATAATGGACTAAACCTCTGAAACTGTAAGCCACCACCTTAATTAAATGTTTTCCTTTGTAAGACAGTGTTTGCCATGGTCATGGTGTCTTTTCACAGCAATAGAAACCCTAACCAAGACAGGATAGCCCCCACACTTTTATTGAAGGTTTTAACTGGTAGAACTTTATTTCAAAATGTATACATGGTAAGCTGGAGCTGTAGCTCAACTGGTAGAGTGCTTTGCTGAACACATACAAAGGCCTGGGTTCCAGTGCCAGTACTATATAAACCAAGAGTGGTGCATGCCTGCAATCCTAGCACTGGGAAGACAGGGGCAGGAGGATCAAAAGTTCATGGTCAGTCTCAGCTATATACAAAGCTCAAGGTCAGCCTGGCCTATGTGAGAACCTGTCTCAAAAAAGAAAAAAAATTGGGCATGATGATGAACATCCAGTGGCCCAAGTTCCACCGTAGCACCCACAGGGCATGCCTGCCATCAATGCCTTGAGTTTTACAGCAGCAGGTTTCTGATGCAAAGGCAGGCATAGGTAAGAGGTAGGTCTCACCTCTCCTTGCTGGTGCCCTAGTTGTGTTAGGCCTACATCTGCGCCAGGGGTTCCTCATTTCCTCTGTATTGTAAGTCTTTGCATAATGGAGAGAAAGTCAGCTCAGTCTTCAGAAGCACCTACAGTTTTCAAAGAACCTCAGAAGTTAGCTCTTATCATCTTACAGAAAGATAGGTAATGGAAATGGAGTCTCCCTCTCAGTCTTGCTCCTCACCTGCTGTCAGTGGTAGTCTCTGTAAACTGCTTGTTGTGTAGTATCCAGGATAGTGCTCCCTCTTTTGCTCTTTAAAACTTGTTTTAACAGGCCTCCTTGCATGGCTATGCTCTCATCTCTCCATTCTTCTGTAGTTAACATTGTTAAAGTAGTTGAGTTGTTTGTACACATTTTAAGTTCTATAATCAAGAAAACCTGAGATTTGGTTTTGGTTTATGCTGGGGATGGAATCCAGAGCTTTGTCTATGCTGGCAAATATTCCACCATGGCGCCATATCTGCTGCTGGAGGTATGATTTCTTACAGTCATGTTGATTTTAATGGCTCCCTCTGAAAGAATGAAATCTTTTAGGGATCTTGGTCCTTGCAGCCTCCTGCCTTCTGAATATGTTATATCAACTCTCTGCAGCCACCCACAAGAAAGTGATAGTCATAAAAGCAGCAGTGTGACACCAAAGCCCAGTGATGCATATGGTCATGTTAGAGTGGGGGCAATAACCTCCTCTTTGGGTTTGCGAGATCTCTCTCAGCAGTACTTTGGTAGAGAAGGTATGTGGCCAGAGCCCAGTTTAATTCCCTAGCTGCAACTACCACAAAGGCTGAGCCTGGGTCAACTCTCCCTCCAGACTGTTATGTTGAAAGGTACCCTCACTTTGTCTAGGCAGATTCTCCATGCATCATTAAGGATAACAATGTACAACTCCTACTTCTCCCAGGTTTTCATTTGTCATTTGTGCATACAGCCAGTGACTGTGGTCTTCCAATTTTGTATCTTCTGTAGATAGGGACACATTTTATCCTCAGAACAACCCTGAGAGTGTCAGTATTGTCACTGTTAACTTGATGTAAACCATCTAAAGAGAGGTTGGTTTATTTTGGCACATAGTTGCAGGGGCTTCAGTCCATAATGGTGAGGAGAAATGGCAGAGTAACTTAGATGAGAAGCAATAAGAAGGGATGTTGATACTGGCTGACTTTCTCCTTCTCTACTGTTCTGCTGGGGGTGGTGCAGGGATGGTGCCATTCTTGTTGATGGTGGGCCTTTCTCTTCGTTTGTGTGACTTTACCTGGGGAAACATGAACAAATGTCTGTTCACCCCAGATAGGAGCAAAGAAATGATTCTACCTATCTTGGTGATCTAGTGAATTTATTGGTGTTACTTTCATGTGTGAAGCAAAGGCAGCTGACCAAGAAGCCCACTCTGGCATGGGTGATGGCCCACAGGAATCACATTGCTGGAGCTCCCTGGCAGCTCAGCTGCTCAGAGGGTCTCTGTGCTTACATAACTTTGGGGCATGGCCTCAAGATCTGGTGTTATCCATTCTGTGTCTGTTTCCTGAGTCTTCTGAATACTGAACTCTCTTGGTTAATTGTTTCCAGAAAAGTCCTCACAAACACACTGGTGTGACTTAACAGTCTTCCAGATGATCCTGAATCCACCCATCACAGTGTCTCAGAGAACTGATTTGCTCATGGAGGTAGAGCCAGAAAGAAGGGACACACTAAGTTGGTACTAATCCACTTAGGTCAGGCCCCAGGCCTCACCCACTCAGGATCCCGCCTCTACAGCTAAGTTGCTTTCTTCAACCTTCTAGTCTCTTTCAGCCCTCCTTATATGGCAGCCTCAAGACTGCTTTTGTCTTTTAGCTGGTTTCTTTTTCATTTTTATCACAGAAGTCTGAACTGGACAGACCTGGCTTGTGCCTACTTCCTAGATGGAAACTCGGAGTCTTGATTTCACTTGTTAGGAGAGGAAAACAGAAGCTGCCCCTTAGTTGTCATGGAAATTGATGGGTATTATCCACAGTTTCCCCTTGCTTTCCCACACCCTTCTAGCTCCAGCTGTTTCCCCTTTCTTTGTCCACATTCTTAAAATCCTGTCAACTTCAATTAGTTGGCAAGAGGAAGTCCCTTCCCTGAGTGGTGGGTGAACACCATCTATTTAGTATCTGCTGTCACAGCAGAGCTATTGTAAGCCATTGTGCCAGCCCTGAAGATTCATCCCCATCACAGGCCAGGGTTGGGACAAGGGGTCATTGTAGGTCACATGCTGTTGGTGCTTCTTGGCCATCTCACTTGGTTTTGTGGCATGTAGTTAGGACCCCAAAGCAGCACTGGTAGCTCTTTTCATCCAGGAGCCTCCATGTTCCTTCTGCCTATAGTTGCACATACATCATGGGACAAAAGAACAGCCATTTTTAGGGAGTAGTGGCTTTTTGTGCTCATGTACTAGGTGTGACATTTATGATATCCTCACGGTGACAATAGATATATTTTTCATTGCACAGATGATATCTTGTATCTCTGACCCTAATTCGTCCTTTATGGCTCCAAAATTACAAGCTTTTATATGCCTGTGATTATCTCAATAGGATTAACAGTGCTTTTCCTATAAGAATAATTGAGATTACCCATGGCAGCATGTTTTTATGACTGCAGTACCATCCCCAGCCAACTCTCCTTGAAATCTTATTGTTTTCCAGTAGCTGCTTCTGCCCCCCCCCCCCCCCCCCCCCCCAGGCAGGTGTGGGGGGACGGGGGGGGCAGGCTTCTGTGGCACACAGGAAGTGTTTGGGGACAGGAGAGGCAAGTTTTTGGTGAATATACAAACTGTGGTAATCTGTGCACCCTCCCACTTCCTTTTCCCAACTGCAGGTGCCTGGAGATTTGAGCCAAACATCTGAAGACCAGAGCTTGTCAGATTTTGAAATGTAAGTTCATGCATGTGTTCCTGAGGGGTCCTTAAAAGAGTGAACCCTGTTGCTAGCCTGTGCCCTGAAGTCCACAGGGGATGGCAGAAAGGTTCATGAGGTTCGAACAGAACCTGTTTGGTTGTAGAGCTGGGGACATTTGCTGAGGTCCAGACCATCTAATGTGCTTTAGTCCCTGGGCATTTAAAATCATTTTGGTTTTGACTTGACATTTAAAATCGGGAAGGTGTCACATAGAGTTTAACTTGTCACTCCTGCAAGGCCATGGCCAGCTAAGCAGGAGCTGAGGGTCCTTTTTCACAGGGCCCACACCCTAATCTTCACCTTGTCGCTGCCCCGTGTTCCATGCTTCTATTTGATTCGCCCATAATATTCACATCTAGTTTTGACTGGCTCAGATTCTGTCTGAGGGCTCTGCTATTAACCCCTGAGGGGACTGTTTTCTTCAGACTCTTTCTGTTTTGGGGATCCATAGACCCCCCCAGACTCCCAAGGAACACAGGGACACAGGGCCACACAGAGAGGCTACTTTTAGAGCATGGGGGGTGAGGCAGGACATTGGAAAGAATGTTTTGTCTAGAACCAGGAGACTTGTGTTGAAATATTAGGCACTGGAATTACAACATTGTGACCTCAAATAAGTCACACGTCACCTCACTGAACCTTAGTGTCCTCTTTTCATAGGGGAAAGTCCTGGAACCAATTTTGCAGAGCATGTTAGCAACCAAAGTGAAACTATGGACAACACACTGAGATGGGACATTGGAAGCCCATCTGTTTTGGGGACTGCCATGAAGTTGATGTGGTAGATAAGAAAACAAGGACAGGGAGAAAAATGATCTAAGTTGAAGATGACCTTGACATGCCAATGTATATACCCCAACCATGGGGCCTTAAAAACCATGATATAAAAACAGACTAAAACAAAACCAGTTCTAGGATAACAGTTGGGAGACCACACACTCCATTTCCAGTAATAGAACCACCAGAAAGAAGATCAGTAAGTAACTGTACTTGAACAACACAATAAAGCAATTAAGCATAACATAGATAAAGATACAGATACAAATAGAAGACATACTTGGGTTAGTCAGCTTTTCATTACTCTAAGAGAGTAACTAAGTTAATCAGCTTATAGAATTAAAAGGGGTGTTTTGTTTTGTAGGTTTCTATTAATGCTAAGGCAGGCTTACAGTTCTTGGGCCTGTGCTGAGGCAGCATGTCATGACTGGCAGGAAGCTTTCTACCTCATGGTGCTGGGAAACAAAGGGAATTACGGAAAGACAGTGGCCCCATAATTCCCTTCCACTAGACCTTCTCTTAGGATCACAGACAGGGGACCAAGCGTTTAACACATGGGCCATGAGGATATTACAGATCCAAGCTAGAATAGGTTTCTTCCAAATTATACATAAGATACTCTCCAGATTAGACCATGCCTCAATAAAAAAATAAAACTGAGATCATACTATTTTCTTTGGTAATGGCCGAATAATTTGTGTAATTTGTCCCTGTTTCATGGTGAACAAAATACTCCATGAAGTAGGGGTTACATCTGTTTCCTCCATTTCTTGTACTTAGGATTGTGTCTGCCACATGGTAGGTTCTAATTAGATACCCATTTCATGAAGAGAGGAATGATAGATGGAGGAGGGCTGGAGGACCAGAGGAGCTGATGTGCGGTGGGGGTCACATAGGCAGTCACTGCCAGCACAATGTAGTAAATGACCTGGGAATAGAGCCCATAACCCAGTCTAGGGTCATGTGCTTTGGCCCTGTGGGATCACCTGGTGTTAACACTTGAGGAAATGAATGGAACCAGGACATTGCTTTTCTGTACTCCTGACTAAGTGCCAGAAATGTTCAAAGTGCTCTAGGCACAGGCACAGCTTTGGGACCTTTGTCTGTGGAATGCCATTGGATACACAGGCCAATTTGGTGGCTCAAGATTGTTGATTGTGCTTTGAACCCTGAACACGTGATCATTTACAGTTTATTGTCCCCTGGAAGGAGGTCACCACCTTGGCCCAGAGCTTAGAAGTGCCAGGGTCATAGGGCTGCTTGCCTGAGGGTTATTTTCTTTGTTAGGGTAGATTGCTTTTCACCCTGGAGATTGTGAGAACATAAAGGCCATGGAGGCTTCAACAAACCCCTGGTAATTTGGATTATGCTACAAGCCCAAGAAGCTGACGAGTTCAGAGCAGGAATGCTCAGAATAAGCCCCTCTCCCTGGATAGATCTGGATAGAGGCAAGACAGTCTTCCAGAAGGGACACCATGCCTAGACAGCTGTTAGGATGCTCCTAAAGATCTCAGCCATAGCCCCCTTTTCAGGTCAGCAGAACTGTGGTGGGATGTGCATTGTGTACCTCAAGTCACCCCATAAGGCAGAACTGTCATATAACCATAATACCCTCAAATATCTCTTAAATAGTTCTCAGGGGATTGATGAGTCAGTGTTTAGAAAAGCATGGGGCTGTGCAGTTGATGTCCTCCAGGAATGGTTTTGTACTTGATTTCCTTCTCTAGGTGCTGCAAATGGAACCCAAACACTGGCTTGTGCTGGGCAAGTGCTCTACCATTGACCTGTGTTCCATGCAGTTTAGCTTAAGTTTTACTGTTTGTCCTTGTTAGCTTCTCTGTTGCTGTGATAAATGCTATGACCCAAAGCAACATGGGGAGGAATGGGCTTCTTTGGCTTATCTGTGACTGTCTATCATTCAGGGAACTCAAGGCAGGAGTTTGCAGCAGAAACCACAGAGGAGCGCTCCTTACCAACTTGCTTCCTCTCCCTCACTCAGCTACCTTCCTGTCTACCCAGGGATGCACTGCTGAGGCAGGCTGGGCCTCTTGCTTCAGTTGGCAATTAAGAACTTTCCCTGTAGTCATGATCACAAGCCAGTCAGATGTGTCAAGTCAACAACTGAAGAGAAGTCTGACTGCAATATACAAAGTGTTTTAGAGGAGTCATAAGAGAGAGGGTATTTGTACCTGACATCTGAGATTTTCTAATTTCTTATTTTCCATTGTCCTTTTCTCCCCCAAGCCCAAGCATCTGTCACTCCCCAAACCATAGGCAATTGCTTTCCTGAGCTCTTGTGTGAAAATGGAGATCAGGGTTAGAAATGAGGGTAGGGGATAGGCAGCTGGTTTCATGGGGTGCTACTGTGTATAACCTCTCATGGATCCCTATTACTGTTCCTTTATCAGATGTGGTGACTGAGCTTCAGATGCATCCTAGGCCAAGGTCACTTAGCAGGTTAGAACTGAAGACCAAGCTCTTTCTCATTCCAGAGTATACACTGCATATGTAAATTTATATATATATATATATACATATATATATATATATATATATATATGATATATACCATATATACATATATTTAACAATGTATATATATATATATATATAATTTAAAGGATGTGTGTATGTATGTATGTATGCATATGTATCCATCCTTTAAACCAACGTCCTCAGAGATAGTCTTCTGAGGTCTAGTGGTAAGTACTAAATGTGTCTTCATCTCACTGTTAAGTATGATGTCTGCTGTATAAGTGACTTCTTTGAAATGCCTTTTGGAGGAGAAAATAGTCTCTTTGCCTGCTTTATTTTTTGTAAATAAAAATGACCATTCTCATGTCTTTATTTTGGTCAGATCAAATCGGGCCCTGATCAATGTCTGGATCCCATCTGTGTTTCTCCGAGGTAAAGCAGCCAATGCATTCCACGTGTATCAGGTAAGTGCCTGGGTTTCATGTTGACATCATGTTTGTGCCATGGTGCTTTGCATGTTGACAGCATTTGTATATCTATAGGATCTACCCTGAAGAGGTGGTGTGTGGCCTTTGGTCAGGTGGGAGGATGTGCATGGAGTTTCCTGTTGTTGCCTTGTGTTGTTTGTTGCTCTGTGACTTTGCCAGCTGTCTGTGGTTTGATGGCTGTTTCCCAGCAGCAACACACACCCAGCCTGACTACCTGGCTTCAACCAAGACCATGTCAACCATGTCTCATAATCCATTTTGTATCTCAGGTCTGTGGCTGAATTGGGGTTAGAAGGATTTTGATTTTCATGGCTGGCTCCATTTGGCTCCTATAACCATTGCTGGTAGCAGGGTTGGCAGTGATCTCACTCAACCACATGTCTGAGAATGGGAAGATGACCCTAATGAAAATCAAACTATGCTTTTGTTGTTGTTTTGAGATGGGATTTTGATACATTCCCTGGGCTGGCCTTGAACTTGCAAGCATGTGGATTTTATATCATGCCCAGTCAGGTTACACATTGCAAAAGAAAGGGCCCCTTTTCTGCAGACAAGACAGCAAATGTCTCCACTCAGTGCTTCAGAAGTGTCCAAGTGCTGTTTGCATGAGTATTTTAGGGATCCAGCTTTGCAGTGCTCTGGAGATGGTTTTGCAACCAGATTTGTGGGGATTTTGATGTTTATGCTTTTAGGTCCATGTATAGCATATGCATTAGCCCCTGTCTGACAGTGCTTCTGGTTGGTATTTGGAAACACTTTAGGAAGCTTTATGCAGTGCTTTCTATGTCACTGATAATGGATAGAAGCGACTTATTTAAATAATGGTACCACTGGGCATTATTTATAAGAATTTTTTTATAAAATGTATGTTGTTTAGACTTGAGGTAATTTTTAGAGAAGCATATAGAAAAGAATGATAAAAGAGAAAAGAAAAATATACCAGGGTCAAGTAAAATGTAAGCTCAAAGGGTTTAAAGGAAAAGGCAGAGACTGTTTTTATTCTAAGGTCCAACATAGTCCTTCTCAGTGATTTGAGTTTCCTAAGGGCCTCCTGGCAGCCATTGTGAAATGGAAATGCAGTTTGGTTATTTTGAGTAATTTCATTGCTAACAACAAGAAAAGCTGTTAATTCCTCACAGAGAACTAAAAAGAAGCCTCCACGTGGGGGCTTCAGAGTGAAGAAGGCTGGGACAGACAATCATCTGCTATATCCTGTGGCAACTTACTATCTACTTTTGAAAGTCTCCTTTTCAGGTGGCTGAGGGCACAACCACAAGTGGACCCCATGCCTGTGAAGAGCTAGCCCTGTGCAGCTTCCTCAGTATAGTTGTGCTATCTCCCACCACAGTCACTACCACACACGGTTGTTTAGATTGAAATTATTTAAAACCAAATAAACCGAACACCTGTTCCTTGGTCACACTAGTCATGTTTTAGGTGCTTACTAGCTATGCCTGTGGTGGTCATGGTGTTGCATGGCAAGAATAATTAATGTCTCTATCAGACTGGAGGTTCTATAGGGCCATGCCACCCATGGAGGGGGGCAGCAGGGTCTCTTGTTGCTACAAGTATAGAAGACAGTAACTGGCGTTCAAATGGCAGAGCTTTGGGGAGAGCCCTTCCCCTGTAGTGCTTGAGTAGGCTGCCTAAGTATCTGACATTGCAATATGACATTGTCATATACAATATGTTGGGTCACAGTCATAACTATCGAGGAACACATGTGGCCTGTGGCTGCAGGTCAGACATGCCTGTCTAGTCTCTGGAGGATGGCCCATCCCATCTCCCTACTTGCATAAGCACAGGAGGCTGGTGATTGACACCTTTGACCAACAACAGGTGTCATTTGTTTTCACTGTGTTTATTTTTACATTTGCCTCTCAGTTATGACACAGTTCTGCTTTCCCCTATATGAAGTACAATATCTTTAAAAATAAATTTTAAGTAAATAGGAAATGAGTCACCTTAAAGAATAATACCAAATTCATAATAGTGAAAAGAGCATCAGCCAAGGGTGATGCCAGGCGGGAACACTGGCATAAGGGATGACTAGGCTGTTAGTAATATAAATAATAATTACCATCCACAAGTCACCTATCCCCACAGTGATTTGCTTGCTGTGAAAAATAGCTCTGTCAGTGTTCATAGCAACTTTGTGAGCTAAGACACTCTTATACCTGTCTCACAACAAGGAAACAAAGACACAGAGAAACATGTGTTTAGTGACATGGTTTTTTAGCTCAAACTGCCACCCCTGTTAGATTTTTAGATTCAGTCTTACTTTCTTTTTGTTACTTTCCTGGTGCTCTGATAAAAATACTCTGACCTAAGGGAGGAAGTGTAGTTGGACTTTTTCTGTCCCACCAACCAGCTCCCAAATAACCACATGGATACTTCTTATTATGAAAACTCAGCCCATATCTTAGGCTTGTCCCTAACTAGTTATTATAACTTAAATTAATCCATATCTTTTAATCTATATTCTTTTAAGTGGCTTGGTTACCTTTAATCTGTACTCTCATCCTGGTTCCTCTCTGTCTGACTGATTACTCTCCATGACTCTGCCCTTTTTCTTCCCAGCATCCTATATGCCCTGGAAATCCTGCTTAGCTATTGGCTGTTCAGCTTTTTATTAAACCAATCTTGAGTAACAAATCTTCAGTGTACAAAAACGATTATTCCACAACATTTCCAATTTTGTTTAAGTAAAAAAGAAAGGTTTTAACTCTAATGTAATAAAACTATAAACAATAAGAACAATTATCAGGTAAGAATTACATTTACAATGTCCAGTCCTTTTGTATTTGGCATATTTGGAAAAAATACTCCATTATTTATTCTATCATGATGAGTCTAAAGCTCTGTACCTCCTTTACCTTCTGTTGTAACTAATGAAAACTATGACTCTATAGTCTTCAACCCCATCAAAGACCCCGGAAGGATATAAAATTACCTGAGTAAACAGAAAGTGCAGAGCAAGCAAATTCCAACACTAAAAGAAATGACAGAAACATCTGGCTGCCTGGATAGTCACCCAAGGTTCCTCTGCAATGTTGACATCCAATTTCAGCATATAGGCCTAGAATATCTGACAGACATTTTGTGAAGCAGGAAATTTTTGAAGGACTGTCCTACCCTGTCTTGACAAAGTTTGGCAGTTGCTTTTCTTTGTGTCCTGCTGGAGTTTAGACAGTATACTATCAGCAGTTGAGGCAAAGGCAGGTTCTTGCTGAACTGGCTATCTTTTGCCATAAAGAAAGCAGACTCCATATGGAGGTTCTTGAATGCCCACCATCTTTTTTTTGAAGTAAATTGGTGTTGCTTCACTGACATGAAAAGCCTTATGTTATTAAAACATTTATAATATATCTGTGAGTTTGAGGCCAACCTGGTCTACATAGTGAGTTCCAGGACAGCGAGGGCAGTTTCACTGAGAAACCCTGTCTTGATAAAACAAAAAACAATATTAAATGCCATATTCTGTAGATCCCTGAAGTGTTTGAAGACCACTTGCCTATCTAAAATATATCTGTTTGACCTTGAAAACATACCTAACATTGTTATAGATGACTATTAACCTGTATTTGCTATCCTAAATAGCTTTCAAACACTAAAACTTTTCATAGCCTTTTAAAATGAGGTGCATAGGTACAGTACCTTAAATAAGAATAGAAATGTATATAGTATAGCAAAATAATCTTAAATTTGTATCGATATACAAAAATCCATACCAATGTAAATATTTGAGAATAGTTGTGGTTTAAAGTAGACTCAACAATCCACCCTTTTATCTCATCATTTTTATTCTATAACCCTCCTTTTTTGTTCAGAAAGAGATTCTTGAATCTAACTCTTTTGTTTAGCTTTTTTCCTGACCATGACCAATAACACCTTGTAACCAACCTTTCTAAATGATGACAAACATCTATAACCCATTGAATGGCCAAAAACCACCCACTCTATCTCTTGGAAATATGGGTATCATGTTCTCTATACTGTTTTGGGTTGTCTGGGGGTACTGAAATCTTTAGAAGACCCTGGGAAAATTGGGATGATGGTCAAATCCTGGGAGAGTTAGCTGTATTATTTGTTGTCTAGTCTCTGCACAATGGGAAAGTGCAAGGCTTATCTGCAGTCCTAGCTAGAATAGTCTGTGAGGTTGGACCGTCTCAGCCAGCAGCCTTGAAGCTGTTCTGGATGCAGAACTCTGAGGAAACCACAACAGAGGCATTCTGAGAGGCTGAATCACCTGGGCTACCTGTTTTCATTGGTGTTTGATCCCCTTGTTCTATAAACACACAACCTGCATTAACACAAGTATGTAATGTGCAGTGAACAAATAAGTTAAAGATGATTTTTTGTTTTATGATTGAGCAGGTAAATGGTGTTTGTCAACTTTAAAGTTCTTTCGACTGCATACCAAACTGTAATGTAAATCTCTATCCATCAATATGAAAGGATGACATGTAGTAATAATAAGTCATGAGGACTCTGTAACTAACAAGATTTATCATGTCTCATCTCAGAGCTGTTCCCATGTCAAGGGATCAACTTGCACATCACCTGTCCTGTAGTCTTTTTTTGGCTTCCTCCACATGTCTGTAGCCAAGATACTCAGGAGGTTTCCCCCAATCAAATCTGATCTCTATTAATCTGGAAGGAATCCACAGCCTTTCATTTCCTGTGGAAACAAAAACATAACCTCTTCCCTAAAGCAAAACTGACTTCTGTTTTAAAGTTAAGGCATTCCTAAAGTATCTGGGTTGGTTTAACTCAGCAGTTCCTCTCACAATCCCATGTCTCCCAGCAGCTGTTGTTTGCTCATAAGCATTAAAAAAATTCAAGGTCAGTACAGCAACATACATGAGCCAGGCTCCTTGTGTAATTTCCATCCTTATGTGGCTTCTTGTTTATTGCTTTATTCTTCCTTTAAAGACTTTATTTTAATTTTTTTCTGTCTATACCCATTTTTTCTT